AAACACACAGATCTCTAATCAGGAACTAAATATCATCAGTTATTTGAACTATGAACATATTTATTTATTGAGGCATGAATATCTTTCTCTGCTCCTCTACCCATGCTCTCTGGCGCCACCATGTGATTAAGACTTAAATTAGATTTAAACAGGATCATGTAAACTCATGATAAATCTTGTGCAGACACAGGGCCGTGAACACTGGGCGTCTGTTAACGCCGGTTAACTGAAAGTTTATCGCAGCGTCACAGTTTCGTCTAAATACATGATGAGTCTAAAAGTTAAAACCCAAATTTCTGTTATCCTCAGTTTCAAAATAAGTTTTAACTTTATTGATTCTTAAGAAAATTCTCTTTCAGGATTTTTCTGTAGTTATAATAACAAAGACTCAAAAAGAATAAAGCATAAAAATATCCAAGGGGGGGGGGGTAAATGCAAGAAGACAAGTGTCTGAATAGATAACGCTGCGAGTAAGAAAAGAGATAAAACTAAACCCACTAGCTTTTGTCTTCAGTTGCTCACTCTGCAGCAGGGCAGCAGTTCTATGTTTTTACATTTCCATTAGAAATGTTTGTGTCAGAGTTTAAAACATTTTTATATCATTCTGTCGTGACTGGAAACCTGAAGCTGAGTGAAGCAGCTCGACTCGTCAGTTTCTGTCCATTCAACTGTTACTGTTCACACGTTAATGCATCAATAACACTGATCCAATAACATCCTGTAACCATCAGTACAACTCTGACAGGAGTTCTGATCACTTTAGAAAGTAGATTCTGCTGACGATACGTTATTTAACTTCACTTCTCTCCACAGAGGTCAGAGGTCACAGCTCAAACTGACCTGAAACAACAAGACAAACATTTTACCTCCGATTTAATCCTCCTCTTCTCATGGTCTGGCAGTAGAACTAAAATCCTCATTTTTGATTTCACACTAACACACATTCACAGACATACACACATGAACACATGCACTCAGTAATACACACACACACTCACACACACAGTCAGGCTGAGCAGCTTCCCTTTCTCTTGCTCGACTGTTGAAAAATGAGGAAACGTCTCTTTAAGAAAAAAACTAAAAACCCTCCCAGTGAGTTTCATTATCAGCCTCTCACACACACACACACACACACACACACACACACACACACACACACACACANCACACACACACACACACACACACACACACACACTGCTGCAGCAGAAACTCAGCACGGATCTGCTTTGTTTATCCAGTTTTTTATTCCAGCCTTAATCAATTTTAATCAGTTTCAAACCTGATTTAATCCAGACTCATTCCAGATTCAAACCAGTTTCAAAACAGATGTAAACCATTTTAGATCTAGTTTTAATCCAGACTTTATCAAATTTTAATCCATCCCTAATCAAGTTTCAAACCATATTTAATCCAGCCTTATTCTAGACTCAATCCAGTTTCAAGCCTAAATTGAGTTTTAATCCTGTTTCAAACCAGATTGAATCCATCTTTAGTCCAGTTTTACTCTAGTTACAAAGTGGTTTCAATCCAGATTGAATCCAGTTTGAAACAGTTTTCAATTATCTTTAATTGGAGTGCACGTTAGTGTGTTCACGTGTGTGTACATGCGTGTTACCGTGTTGGCGATCTGTAGTCCAGAATCAATCAGCGTCAGAAATTCATCATTGAGGCTCGATTCTAGACTGATGATGTCATTAATGACGGTCTCTTCCACCTTGATGAAGCAATCAGAGGAAAAAAACGAGGTTTGTATATATTGTGTATTTATGTGTTACTTCCTGTTCAGTCGTGTATATTTACAGTATAATTCTTACTTCCTGTGTGCCATCTCCGAGCTGCAGTCCGGGGCCGCAGCCCAGCTGGGGGGAGTGGCTTGCTGACAGTTCAGATGGCGTCTGATTGGCTGTCTTGGGGGCGAAGGTTGTCTGAGTGGTGGAGAGATACTGACGCACCTGCTGCCTCTGAGCCTGCTGGATGTGATACCTGGTCGGGTTCTCCAGGTGAGTCTGCACCTGAGGGGCGGACACAGGTGCATTAGGGGAAATGTAGGATATTTTACAGTAACAGCCTGTTTTCACCTCCTCCTCCTCCTCCTCCTACCTTTAGCACCTCCACTGGAACCTGAGCAGGAGGTTTGCAGGAGGACGACACAGAGACAGGCGATGAGGCGTCAGAGGATCGGAACTGATGATGATGCTGCTGCGCCTCCTTAAGCTCCGCCTCCAGAGTCTGCTGACGCATCAGGTCCTGACGCATCAACACCCTGCAGGAGGAGAGGAGGAGAGGAGGATGAGAGGATGAGAGGAGGAGAGGAGGATGAGAGGAGGATGAGAGGAAGTGCAACTTGTCATTATTTCATAGGAGAGAAACAGACAGTAAAGAAGTGTGTGCGTGTGTGTGTGTGCGTGTGTGTGTGTGTCTGCGTGATACCTGGATGACATCACTGACATCAGCGAGGATGATGATGATGATAAGGAAGAGGAGGAAGCTCCTGCTGATGTACTGAAGAGAAAAGAAAAGATTATGACATCATCTGTGATAATATGACATCGTTTTGAACTGATTCAGAGACAGAAGTTGACGTGTGTGTGTGTGTGTGTGTGTGTGTGTGTGTTAGTAACCTGATGCTGATTGGCTGACTCTTGATCTCGTAGAAGGCATCGCAGCCTGAAGGTAACAAACTGTCAACCTCGATGTCAGCGACAATCCCAGACTCCACCCTGACAGACGGAGACAGAACCAATCAAATTGTGACCTCAGAGGTTCTGACATCACAGCGTTTGTCAGCACGGGTACCAACTGAACTCTGTCAGTTATAGATTAATGATTCTTCTTGGTTATTATTCTGATAATAACCACAACCACCTCACTCAAGTGATCACACTACCATAGCTTCCTGTTTACTGACCACGTCACAGTAAACGTCACACCACGCGATCACATGGTGCGGTAACATCTGGATATCTTCCCTGAGTTTTGACTGTGAGGTCGTCGGAGCTGCACGAATAATGAAGCTTCCAGGAAAAACACTTTAAACAGCTGCTGAGTCATGTGTTTGACAGCTGGCTGTGATCAGTGGAAAACAAAAGGAGAATGTGAGGAGCCTCAGCTCAACACTGTAAAACATGAAGCAGTTAAAACATCTGGAAACTCAAGATACAAAAACATCTGGCTGAACTCAACACTGTGTTTGTTTGTGTGTGTGTTTGTGTGTGTGTGTGTGTGGGGGGGGGTGTTTGTGAGCAGGGTGTGGTGGTGGAGCAGCATTGATGAGGACAAGTCTCGTCTGGCTTTTTCCACTGGGAAAATACCTCCCAGCATGTTTTGTGGGAACATGCCTCAAAACTGCAGTGAGACCAGTGTGTGTGTGTGTGTGTGTGTGTGTGTGAGTGTGTGTGTGTGTGTGTGTGTGTGTGTGTGTGTGTGTTAATCTTGCATGACTCATTGCAGTCCAGGAAAAGAGGATCAGAGGTCAAAGTTCAAACAGTAACATCAACAACCACCAGACTCATTCATCACTTTGTCTCATCAAAGTGTTTTAATTTAAATGTTATAAAATAAAAGTCACTTTCACTTTCAGGTTTGTTTCAAGATGAAGAACTGACTCTTCATCATCTTCACATGAATCAGCTCGTCTCTGTCCAACATGTCGGTACTTTACTATCAAAGTTCTTTTCTGATTTATTTTCACTCATCAATCAATTGAATTTTAATATCAAGTGGTTTTCTTGTTAATTAATAATGAAGAGTTATTTTCACTTGACATATTCAGAATAAAGCAGCATGTTGGAAGTTTTATGAGCCGATTAGAGCAGAATCAACTGAACATGTGAACCATGGTGTCCGTCCTGGTGAGGACACGAGTCTTTGAGCTGCGGAGACACTCATCCTTTAAAAGTTCAGATTCTTGAACGGAGTCTGGTTCCAGATGCTCAGCGCAGCAGAAATAACGGAAAGTCCAAGAACTTCCGGACTCACCGGAGCAGGTCGAGTGTTTCAGCGGAGTCCAGGATGACGAACACGGTCTGCGGCTGCAGGATCCCGGCCTCCTGCCGCTCCGGCTCGGCTCCGGTTCGGCTCAGGACCTGGTCCGAGGTGACACCTGACATCGCTCCGGAGGCAGAAGAGACGACTCGGCGGGATAAGTCCGGACTGATCCACCGGAGGATCCAGACACAGTCAGTCCGAGCCGGAGCAGGAGCAGAATCAGAACCGGGTCCAGCCTCAGGTACAAGTCCGCCACAACGCACGCGCGCGCGCGCACCCACCCCCACACACACACACACTGACCAATCATCTTCCGCCCTGCTCACCGCTGACCAATAGGAATGAGGCAGAATCCTCTGGCAGCCAATGAGCGGCTGCTGCGGAGGCGGGGCGGCCATCTTGTTTGTTTTGGTCCGTGAGTTTACGGGAAGTTTGGAGTGGGGGGGCGGGGGTGACGTCACTCCAGCTGATCGGCTGTCCTCAGAGTGACAGGAGAGCCGACCAATCAGGGAGGGCGGTGTTTCATCAGACAGCTGACGTCACAGACAGTCAAATGTCACTTTCATTCTGAATTCAACGAAAACAAGTTGTTTCTGAAGAAATAAAGAGTGATCTGGATCCTGTTGATCTGGATCCTGTTGATC